AGTATCTACCGACTACGTGCAGAAAGAGTGCCTGGAGTAATGGTGATGGCGGCTCTAAAAGAGGACATGGACAGCAAGAAAGCCATGGAGCTGCTTCACCAACGATTTGGTCATATAAGCATGGAGACGGTGAAAGTGTTGGCAAACAAACTCGATGTTGGAGTTAAGATGAATGCAAAAGATCTGACTTCCTACGAGTGCGTTGCTTGTGCTGCCAGTAAGGCAAAACGAATGTCTTATAAACGGATTCCATCGCGGAAGTCTGAACCTCTGGAGACTCTCATGATGGACATTTGCTCTGTGAACGAACAGTCTGTGGATGGAGCTACAATGTTTCTCTTTATCATAGATGAGTCTACAAGATACAAGTGGCCGTTCCTACTCAAGAAGAAGAGTGAAGCAACGTTCCACATCAAGGTCCTGCTGAACAGGCTGCGAACTCGCTTTCCTGAGATAAAGGTGCGACGACTACACTCTGACCAAGGAGGTGAATTTGCAAGCAAGGAACTAAGTGACTACTGCGTCGACCAAGGGATTGAGCAGCAGTTTACGAACGCCTATTCTCCTCAAGAGAACGGCATTTGGAGCGTGCTAATGGCGTGGTTCTACCAAGAATCAGAGCGATGCTGATGGCTACACACATGCCCAACTCCTTGTGGGGAGAAGCCTTCCTGCATGTGGTGACGACGTTGAACTGGTTGCCCACCAAGCCTTTAGGATTGATGTCCCCGCACCAGAAACTGTACGAATCGGAGCCCCATGCTGGATGATTTGCGTACTTGGGGCTGTCTGGCACACGTGCGTATTCCCCCTGAGTCAAGACAAGCAAAAGAAAAGCTGGAAGCAAGGGCAAGACTGTGTTTATTACTGGGTTATAGCGAATCGACCCTGGGCTACAAGTTCATTGACCTGGTGACAGCTCAAGTGGTGACAACTCGTAGTGGGAATGTGAAGTTCCATGAAGAGTTCGCAACCGATGGCATCTACATGAATCATCTATTAGAGAACGCATTCTTTGATGGTGATCATACGCTACGCGAGACTGTACCTGTGGCGCGCATCAAGACCAACATGGAGACGTACCTTCCAGGTTGGAGTGACGGCATCTCTAGTGCGGAGAAGCCACTTGAGGCGGTACCACTTGCTGACGAGCCTGCAGAAACTGAGTTAAGTTCAAGTGGGAGTTTGTCAATCGTTGACGCACCTGTGAGCAAGGACAGTGCGGAGACTGCTGGTGTTGCAGCACCAGCCGTGTTGCAGGATCCTGCTGAAGAAACCGAGGAAGGTCTGGAAGTGAGGAAGCGCAAGAGACGCAGAATAAAGAAGAAACCTGCAATGGTGGAGAAGGAGACAAGTGGCTTCGAGATTCAACCTCCATCAAGAGAGCCCTGCCTAAAGCGACTAAGAAGGAAGCAGAAGGCGAACGTTCGATTGTCGGATTACGTGGTAGGCCTAGTGCAGGCTATGACTACGGATGTGCAGATTCCGACGACGTACAAACAAGCACGTGCAAGCAAGTACTGGCAGCAGTGGAGAGCTGCAATGTTGGTGGAACTTCAATCGTTGAAGGGTCACAAGACCTGGAAACTTGTACCCCGCAAAGATGCCAAGAAAGTGAAGGTGATAACGTGTAGGTGGGTCTTTGCTGTGAAGCGAGATGAGCGTGGACGAATCAAACGATTCAAAGCGCGACTAGTGATCCATGGATTCAAACAACAACTTGGGATTAACTACTCTGAGACCTATGCACCTGTGATCCGGTTCGAAACCATGCGTGCGGCTATCTACTACGCTGTACAAAGAGGTTGGGAGGTGTTGCCATTCGACGTGAAGACGGCTTTTCTGTATGGAGACTTGGACGGGACTATCTTCATGGAGCAGCCTCCTGGCTTCTGATGGATGGACCTGGATCCATTTGCAGATTGTTGAAGAGCCTGTACGGACTAAAGCAAGCACCGAACGTTTGGAATCGCACGCTTCATGCGAAGCCTGTTGCGATGGGGTTTACTAGGACGGACTCTGACTACGGCCTATATGCATTGAGGAAGGATGGTGAAGTCAAGTTGCTATTGACTGTTTACGTGGACGATCTACTGCTGATGGGCTCACGTGACCTGTGTGCCACAATCGCTGCCTCACTGCAAGAGACATTCGAGCTCACGACGATGGGCACAGTCAAATATCTCTTAGGCGTCGAGATCCTGATTGACCGGCCGCGCCGGCAAATAGTGTACTGCCAGAAGCAGTACGTACTGGAGGTGTTGAAGCGTTTTCATATGGAGAACTGTAATGGCTGCGCTACACCAGAAGCTACGACGCCCTCGAAGACAGACGTGCCTGCTTCGAAGGAGTATCTTCCCTACAGAGAACTGGTGGGTGCTCTCCAATACCTCGTTAGTGCATCGAGACCTGACATAGCTCATGCTACCCGACACCTGGGCAAGTATCTTGCGAGCTATGCTCATACGCATTTCGCACAAGCCAAGAGGGTGCTGCGTTACCTGAAGGCTACATGTGACTACGGACTAGTGATGAATGTGAAGCTACAGACTGATGTGCAAGTTAGTGGCTACTCTGATGCTGATTATGCGAATGACCCTGTGGATCGACGGAGTGTCCGTGGCTACATCACTATGCTGGACGACAACGTCATCTCCTACGCATCTCGTAAGCAAGAGATCAACGCGCTCAGTACCTGTGAAGCTGAGTACGTAGCAATGACAGAGGCGACCGAGGACTTGTTGTGGCTTGCTGGCCTATGCAAGGAGTTGAGCTGGAAGCATCCAGTACCTCAACTACTGGGAGACAATCAAGGAGCCATTGCCTTAACTGCGAAGCCTGGCAAACATTCGAAATCGAAACATATCGATAACAAGTACCACATGATCAGACGCCACGTGGAGTTGAAGCAACTTACAACCCAGCACATTGGAACTGATGCTATGGTGGCCGATATAATGACAAAGGCACTTGCAGTGGTGAAGTTCACACACTTTCGCAAGGCTATGAAAGTCTTACCTATTGTGTCGAGCGACGACAACGTATCCGAGGACATGGCTACAACTACGACTACTGCTACTGCGTTGACTACTGCTGTTGATGCGGAGGCTGTACCTGAGCGACATTGATGAAGACGAGGGCAATCAAGTGGGAGTACTGTTACAGAGTGGACTGCTATTGTCTTTGAGCTGCGACTACGCTACTACTAGGACTATGGCGGCAACTAGGATGCGCGTGTGTGATCGCGTCGACTTCCAAGTGCGTCGCCGAGATCAAGTGGGAGTGGGAGCTATAAAACTTACCTGCGTGTCGAGCGCCAGTGCATTGCAGTCTGCCAGTGTCCGGTGCCCCCATCTACGAGCCACCGTCCACTGCCAGTGTCTGCAACGACACATCTTAAGGACACTCATGCGCCTGGCAGTGCAGCTTGCGGCTGCACTACAACCGGCTACACTGAGTACACATGCGTGCAATGGCGAAGGACTATACCAAGGACTGTATGCACAAGGACATCGTTGGCTGTGTGCTGCCAAGATGGTGTACTCAAACGAGAGTGCATTTATCTAGAGTTTAGTATTGACTTATTTGCTATTTGTATACTAATCTACTTTTGCGGTACAGCGGTGTTCTGGCGGAGGCTGCTCCACACTTTGCGTTTTGACGCCTGCCGCTCATCAGAGAGCAGCAGAGAAGAGCAGCCTCGCCAGACACCGCAGTCCTGTCGCGGCCTTTTGCCCGGCACTTACGTGTTTACGTTACTTCCTGATAAGTTTCCTAAAGTTGACATTTAAGTGTATTTACATTTAAATGGCTCCTACTCTTAGAAGCGATCGACACATGGAGAACAATCCCCCCGTGACGAACCCTACGTCACCACTGCGTTGGGGTGTCATTTCATCTAATATGAAAAAGGGTAACTGCTTTCCATTCTCCTCCTTCATCTTTTTTACCTCGTTATAGACATCTTGCGCGGTGCGCATTTCTACGCGGAATTCGATTTTCTGCTCTAAGTGTATCATTTGTGCGCTCGGATGCTTGGAGTACTTCAACAAGCAGGAAATAAAACCACACGTCCACAGGTCCATAAATCCCTGATTGGCAGTTCAAAATGTCCTCCATCGGCTTGGCTACTGGGTCATCCATTTCCACAACCTCGCGAAATGCCTCCGATATCGACTTGAAATTCCTGTACATGACCTGTGACGCGTCAGTTATCCTGGTGGCATGCCAGTAAAACCACGGTCGTGAGCCTTGCAGCGTGAAAGCGAGCTGCGATTTTCCCATGCCAGACGACCCTTCAACACAAATAAACGGAAGCGGGAGATCATTCATGTCATAGATATCGTCGATTTTGTCCAGCACCTCACAGCAATAATTACTGCACTCTTTGCGAATGCTAGCCCCGCACTTTTGATAGTAGTCCAGCTCTTTCATGGGTTTACTTCCAGCGGCTTCTTCAATGACGATCGTGACAGTGCTCGCAACTAAACCCGGAACCATCACCAGCACGTGAATCTATTTCACTTTCGGGGGATCCATGCCTTCCGGACACTCAGAAATCGGATCTTCTCCCTGCAGCTTCTTTTCTTCTTGCGTTAGAAATGTGACGAGAGCAGTCTTCTCGCCCTTCTTCAGCTTCTTCACATCTTCAGTGAGGCTCGATAGCCATGCGTTGCCCCCCGCCTTCGCCAGGAAGAGCTGCAGTTTGTCAGGTCGCCCCGTGTACTTCAGCTTGTCTGCGATGACTTCCTTCGCCTTCTACACTTGCTCACCGTCGTCTATCTCCACCACCATGGTAATCTTCCCCATATTTCCTGGAGGGAAGCAGATGGGGAGAGAATTACTGGCGTACTTAAGCGGAAGAAGACGCGTGTCACATTGCAAAATACAAAAATGAAGTAAAACGATTCAAGTATTTTAAACCGACAGATCAGCATATTGTGCATGTTGAAGTGGTAAGTGTATTTTCTGCGAAGTTTGTAGTAATATTACCAGAATTCATGGTCCACTACCAGCAGCACATCAAAAACATGGAGGGTCTCAACAACGGAGCGACTATGGCTGGTATGCCGTCGGCCGAAGTGGAGAAGGTCAAGGTGACCGTGCTGGCTGCAGGCGCGTTCGGCATCGCCATGGCAACTTTGGTGGCTCGGCGTAAGCACGACGTGTTCCTCTATGCGCGCGATGCGAACGTAGTGCAGACCATCAACGAGACGCACCGCAGCCCTCGCGTGTTCCCGCAATTCAACCTTCTGCCCAATATTCGCGCCACCACGTCTGTGGCTGAAGCCACCAGCGACGCCAAGATTGTTATCGTGTGTCTTCCGGCTCAGCTCACTCCCGACTTCCTGGCCCAGTACCGTGACGACGTCCCAACGGACGCCGTGCTGGTCATCACATGCAAGGGACTCTACCTAAAGACGAAGCAGCTGCTGGCCGAGCCCATTCTTGAGGCACTACAGCGTGACCAGCCTCTGGTCTTCCTATCGGGTCCATCCTTCGCGCTCGAGCTTATGAACAACGCGCCGTCGGCTGTTGTCGTGGCCGCTAAACTTCTCTATCACGCTGTTTACGTGCAACGCCTTCTGTCCACCGTCGACTTCCGCATTTACAGCTCACAAGACATTGTGGGCGTGCAGCTCGGTGGCGCACTAAAAAACCCACTAGCCATCGGCGCCGGTATGGTCGAAGGTGCCGGCTACAAAATTAACACGCTGGCTGCCTACGTCACACGCAGTTCCCTGGAGCTGCAGAAACTCTGTCTGGCCATGGGCGGCCAACCGATGACCATTTCGGGTCTCTCGGGCATCGGAGATCTCATGCTTACAGCCTTCGGTGGTCTCTCGCGTAACAGGACGTTCGGTCTTCGCCTCATTCAGGGCGAGAAGTCGGAGGATCTGCTACGTGAAACTACAGTCGAGGGTGTCCCTACGGCTGAAGTTGCAGTCTACTTCGCCGAGCAATGTGGCCTCGACCTGCCTATCTTCCGAACAGTCAACGCCATGATCAAGGGCCACGTTAAACGAGAACAGCTCCAAGAACTGCTCATGAATAGACCTCTCAAGTCCGAGACCTGATCGAACAGAGGTGCTAAGGGAAGCGGATTTATTTGATGTTCCTGTTACGGTCGACTAGGGATTATTTCGAAGTCTCCTAGTGACGTCACATATCTGTAACCTTTTTCAAATCCTATCAATTCAAATATTCCAAGTTGGAGTCCGGAGGTGCCAGTGGGTACTGCCCTTCAAAAAAGAGATCGGCTACTAAGCCAATATACTGAAATTTGGTGAGCGACTTGACTATTATAGCGTCTATAAGGACAAAGTGCACCGGAAGTTACGTATCTCCTTCAGTAGATATTGCCGCGGAAGTTATGCTGTCTGGTCGTATTGTGCATTTCAATGATTTTTTCCTTTTCACTTTCGATTTATAATAAAAAAGTCGTTTTATTTAATCGAGGTCTATAAAAAGTACAAATCGATCTAGCTCGACTGGCTAATAAATGATAGTAAAATCGACTGCCCGGGATCGATCAACCACCAAATCCACATCGATATCCTGTAAATCGACCCTTTTTGCCGTTTTGAAATGGTAATTTGATCACAGATAAAACAATTCGATGTCTGCCTCTCCATCCCATTTTTATTCGTGGTTTTTGCTCCGACCATGCTCCATCTATAAAACGGATGGACATTTGTTGATATGCACCGACTCCGCACGGTTCGGCTAACCGGCGTGACGTTCCAAACTGGACCGGTCCAAAACCGGTTAATCTGGTGGATGGCCAGGAGCACTGAAGTTTAGAGGACAGATTTAATTGACTTTAATCTACTCACTTCGGCATTTACCGTTAACAACAACAACAACAGGTTAACAGCCGCAAACGCTCAACTCTACCGGAACGTTCCAAAACATGACGACGACCAAGCGCGCCGAATTCCTCCTCGGGAGTGGGAACTACTTCCACTGGGAGTACAATATGCGCATGACGCTAGCCAGGAAGGGCCTGCTTGCGCATATTCAAGCCGTCAAGCAGGAGAACGAGATCACCGAGGCGTGGCTCGTCAATGATGCCAAGGCGCTCGGCATCATCGCTCAGGTAGTGGAACTCCAGCATCAGACCAAGATTCGGTTGGCCACTCGTTCCATAGAAGCTTGGGGAACGCTGCGAGAGTTTTATAACCGCACCACGCTCCACAACCGCGTGACGATGACGCGTCGCCTCCACGAGTTCAAGATGGAGAGTGGATCGACTATGGCCAAGCATCTGGATGCGTTTGATGAGCTGATCGTCGGGTTGCAGACGCTGGGAGAGCCCATGGACGAGGTACGCCAGCTGGTGGTGCTGCTGAGCAGCCTCCCCGTTGAGTACGAGCTCATTTCGTCTATCGTGGAGAACGCCAAGGGTGTGACGCTCATTGAGGCCAAGGAAAAGCTGTTGAAAGAGTACGAGCGACTCGAGAAGAAGGAACCACGGAAAAGGCGTTCCAAGTAAATGGGAACGCAGGCAAGTTCCGGAACGGCCGAGGAAACGGTCAAAAACGGAACGATCGAAAATGGAACGGTCCGAAACGGAACGTTGGTTTCAAGGGCAAGTGTTTCAACTGTGACCAAGTGGGTCACATGAAGCGGGACTGTCCTGCTGCGAAGAAGAGCAGTCAAGACGATGCAGTGTTTACAGTTGGTGGGGAACGCTCGGCCGGGTGGCTGATTGATAGTGGTGCGACGTCGCACATGACCCCTCACCGGAACGACCTATTTGGGTACGAGGCACTAGACAGTGGCATCAACGTGACGATTGCAGATGGAAAGAAGCTGCGCGTCGCAGGAACTGGAGCGGTCAAGTTGACTGGTTTGGACGGTAAACGCATCCGAATGGTGGACGTGCTCCACATTCCGGGGCTCGATAGACGGTTATTGTCGGTCGGGAAGCTCGCGGAACGAGGTATGAGCGTGGAGTTCCAGCGTTCCAGCTGTGTAATTTGGGGACGGAACGCTGCGATAGCGTCAGGGAAGAAGGTCGGTAAGGCGTTCCTGCTGGACTGTCAGCAGGAGGAGGCCCGTTTCGTGCAATACGCCGGTCCTGACAGCGAGTGGGAGCTTTGGCACGCTCGCATGGGTCACCCCAACAAGGACGCGCTGACGAAGACTCAACGTTCCACAATTGGTATCCCACATGTGACAAATGGAAACGAGACTTTGTGCGGTGGATGTGTGAAGGGAAAGCAGACCGTGACGACGTTCCCGTCACGATCGCTAACGAGAACGACGCGTGTGTTGGAACTAGTACACACGGACGTAATGGGCCCAATGAGAACGATCTCAAAGGGTGGTGCCAAATATGTTCTGACGTTCGTAGACGACTACTTAAGGATTGTCGTTGCGTACTTCATTAAAAGCAAGAGCGAGGTGGGCAGCAAACTGAAGGAGTTCAAGGCATTGTACGAAACACAGTGGGGGGAACGTCTAAAATGTCTTCGTTCCGATAATGGAACGGAGTTCGTAAACAAGACAGTTTTGGAACTATGCAAACGGAACGGTATCGTGCATCAGCGTAGCGTTCCATACAGCCCTCAGCAGAATGGAGTGGCGGAACGCATGAGCCGTACCATCATGGAGAAGGCATGAAGCATGCTGCACTACAAGTCTATGTCGACGCAGTGGTGGGCGGAAGCGGTTCGTACTGCAGTGTATCTCATCAACCGTTCCACGAACACATCAAACTCTGATGTCACGCCGTACGAGCTGTCGTTCTAGGTGAAGCCACGGATGGAACACCTACGTGTTTTTGGGTCACAAGGGTACGCTCATGTGGACGACGTGATGAGAACGAAGCTGGAACCCAAGAGCTTCAAGTGCACGTTCCTCGGGTACGCTGAGAACGTGAAAGGATATCGTGTGTACGACATGGATGCGTCGAAGGTCAAGGTGACACGGTCGGTCAAGCTGGACGAGCGTGAGGTGGGCGGAATCTATGACACGCAGTCGCCAGCTTCAGGAACGGTCATCCATGTGACGAGGAACGATGATACGATCGTTTTAATATCGGGAGTGGAACGTCAGCCTGCTCAGGATGAACCGATGGAAGAAGCAGAGGAGCCTGCTCAAGACATTGAGATGGACGACCTTGAACCGGAACGTAGCGCAAAAATACAGCAGCTACCCGCGCCGGAGGAACCCAGGTTAAATGGGTTGGATTTGGCAACGCTCCATTCGCAGCCTTCATCGTTCCATGAGGACCAGATGATCTTCCGTCCTGAAACGGAACGATCTACGCGCCCTCGTGAGCCGTTACTTCTACTTGGGAATGGTGACGATGAAGATGTGGAACGTGGAAGTGATGGACCGTCATCTCCTAAGCGTGCCAGAATCGACGAAGATGGTTTGCTCGCAGAGGCAGTGTTGGCGTACGCGGCCAGCATCGGTGGCGTTTTAGATACGCCTAGCACGTACGCAGAAGCTATTGCCAGTAGCGAAGCAGGAGAGTGGCGTCGTGCTATGCAGTCAGAGCTGAATTCGCATTCCCGGAACGGAACATGGACGCTCGTCCCACGTGGAACGACAACTCGTTCCATTGGATGTCGCTGGGTGTTCACGAAGAAGCGTGACGAGAACGGCCGGGTTATCCGTTACAAGGCACGCCTAGTAGCGCAGGGGTTCAAGCAGAAGTTTGAAATAGACTTCTTTGAGACGTACTCCCCAGTTGCGAATATGAACTCGATTCGAGTTGTACTCGCTGTTTGCGTTACGTGCGGCTACATTATGGAGCAACTGGATGCCGACACAGCGTTCCTAAACAGTGGTTTGGTGGATTTGGTCTACATGGACGTTCCATTTGGTCTCGAGAATGCTGAAGGCATGAAGTGCAAGCTGCTAAAGGCCATCTACGGCTGAAACAAGCGGCAAGTGCATGGAACAAGACTATTCATCGCGTGTTCCTGCAGAGCGGTTTTAAATGTTCCGGAGCCGACCAGTGTGTCTACGTCAAGCGTTCCAAAAACGCATTTGTGTACGTATGTCTATATGTGGACGACATGATCATTGCGGCCAAGACGCGCGACGTAATTCGCGAGGTCAAGAACGCCCTGAAGAGCGCATTCAAGATGAAGGAGCTTGGCGAGGCCAAATTCATTTTGGGAATGGAGATTGATCACGATAGAGAATGTGGAACGTTGATGATCAAGCAAACTCGGTACATTGACGACATTGTGGAACGATTCAATCAACGGAACGCCAAGATGGTGGAGAACCCTTGTGCAGCAAACCTGAAATTGTCCAAGATGATGTCGCCGACTACGGAAAAGGAACGTGCCGAAATACGGTCACGACCGTATCGTTCCTTAATCGGGTGCCTCATGTGCATCACAACCTGTACTCGGCCGGACATTGCTTACGTTGTCACGCAGTTGTCACGCTTCCTAGAGGATCCTGGAACGCAACACTGGAAGGCAGCGATTCATGTTCTGCAGTATTTGAAGTCCACTCGCCATCATGGTATCGTTTACAAAAGTGGAACGAGTGGATTTGGAACGCAAGCTGTCAAGGCAGAAGCGTTTACGGACGCAGACTGGGGAAGCAAAATTGACGACAGACGTTCAGTGTCTGGCGTCATGGTCATGATTGGGAACGCTCCGGTGGTGTTTAAGTCCAAGTACCAGAGGACGGTTGCACTTAGCTCAGCGGAAGCAGAGTACATGGCACTAAGCCTTTGTACTATGGACACGTGCCATGCTGAAGGACATGGGTCACGAGCAAGTGGGAGCGACGCAGGTCTGGGAAGACAATCAAGGTGCTATTGCACTTGCAAGCAACGCTGGATATCACGCGAGGACCAAGCACGTGGATATCCGTCCTTACTTTATTCGAGAGAATGTGGAGCGCTCCACAATCAAGGTGGCCTACATCGACACGAAGCAGCAGTTAGCTGATATGCTTACGAAAGCACTGGGAACGAAGTCGCTAGCGCTCCTTCGCGAAGCAAGTGGAATCAAGAAGAGGAACGACGTGCTGTAGCGGTGAGTGAGAGTGCTGATATGCACCGACTCTGCACGGTTCGGCTAACCGGCGTGACGTTCCAAACTGGACCGGTCCCAAACCGGTTAATCTGGTGGATGGCCAGGAGCACTGAAGTTTAGAGGACAGATTTAATTGACTTTAATCTACTCACTTCGGCATTTACCGTTAACAACAACACACACACACACATTCCATCTGCA